CAACATCTACAACACAGTACCCTGAAGAGCCCATTTGTGAATTGCAGTTTACTTAAAAACATTTCATAAAACAATGATTCTTGAAACACCAGAGATGCCAATTCACACTCACCTGCTGTTGTCTCTGTCAGCAAAGGCTCTGCAGCTGGCAGCATAGAGGGCCACCACCTCTGCTTGCCACATCTATGGGGACATCTGTCAGAGCTTGTCCTGTTCAGCCAAACTGATGAACCTCCCAGGTATGGCAGCAAGAACCACTACACACTCCATCACTATGGGCAGGCTTTAAAGGAGCTACCAACAAGGGAAAGCAGAAACACTCCCTACCCTGCTCCTGAAAGCATGTGCTACCAGTTAGAGAAGCGAGAATGATATCAGATGCCTCTTGTGATCGGTTGCAACCCACCCAAAACAGTCAACAAAATAACCCAGACTAAAACCTGTCTCTGCTCCCCACCCCTAGCTGAAATATTCTGCACAGGAGCTTTCTAACAGCTCCTCTGTGTGAAGGGGATGGTAGTACAGTTGCTTCTTGCAGCTGAGGTGCCCGGGCTGTGCAGGCCATGTGGCTATCACAGCATTAGTCCAGCCCTGCCATGCTGCATGATACCACCAGACATGGAAATATCATGAGTCAGCAATGTTTTGAATCCTTCCCCTTTGTCTGCTGGTTTTTGGCAGCTGGTGTGTCCTGTCCTCCTGACAGCAAGTGTTTCTGAAAGCCAAGGGTCGCCAAAACATCTCTTTAGAAATCAAGGGATCGCAAGGCATCTGGGGATAACTTACATAAAAATGTTGTCAAGTCAGGAGCAGATCAGCAGTCAGGAAGATAACCTGCTGCATTAATTGATTCTGCGTAGACCGGGGCTGGAGGTGTAAAGACCTTCCCCGGATCTTCGCTCGCGAAGACTGGCCATTATTATTATAGACCGGGGAGCATAATCTCCCAGAAGGCAGCTGCTGCAGCCCGTAAGGAGAACACGGGTCGCAGGGCTAGAGCACACCGAGTGCCCGCGTAATTCTATTTCTTTAGCTCAGAACCAGGCTCAGGCTCGCTGCCGGCAGTCCCTCCCGCTGCCTCCCTCCCTCGGCGGGATGAGGGCGGTGCCCGAGGAGCGCCCGCCGGAGCAGCTCCTCCTGACGGCACAGCCTTGCCCACCAGGCGGCGCCGTCGGCCCGCGGCGGGCGCGGGGCGGCCGCTCGGAACCCCTGCGAGCGGGCCCACACCCCTCACGGCACCGCCCCGGCCGGCCGGCACCCACCCCCTCACGGCACCGCCCCGGCACGGCCGGCTCTGGGGGTCCCACCCACCCCCTCACGGCACCGCCCCGACACGGCCGGCTCTGGGGGTCCCACCCACCCCCTCACGGCACCGCCCCGGCACGGCCGGCTCTGGGGGTCACACCCACCCCCTCACGGCACCGCCCCGGCACGGGCCGCCCCGCAGCACGGGGAATGGCCAAGTACAGCAAAACGCTCTCAGAACCTGCAGGGACAACACCCCAGACTGTGCAGGAGGAAATGCACACACACACGCACCTCTCTGCACACCGCAGCCAAGCGCTAAACACAGCATAGCAAAACTTAGCATTTCTCAAACGGAGGAGCTGCATTAACTGACTAGAGAGTCAGTTAAAGTGTCGTTTTGATAATGCCACCACAGCCCAGTAAAGTATCCGAGAAAGCTCTCGTTGATTCCATGTAAACTCCCACTTCAGCTCTCCCTCCACTCCCCATCTCAGGTGGAGCTCAGGTAGCTCTGACTCAAGCTACAAAACACACCGATTGAGATCAGGGAGATTTCTGTAATAGCCATTTAGTATATTGATGCCCACAAGAGAACAGGAAAAGCAAACCAGAAAAAGGTACCGAGTGCTAAGAATGCCAAATCATTAAACAGGCTCATTGCTTCAGCATTAGGATCTTTTCCCATGGATCCAGGAAAAAGAACATCCCATGAAAACACCCACCAACCCTTGGGATTTCTGATGTGTATGCTACAGTTAACCAGCAGCAAATGTGCTGTAAGTGCTGCCATGGTGTTGGGCTCAGCACAAAACTCTCATTTAAAAAGACGCTGTAGTAAAGGTCAAATGTTTGGAGCTGAAATAGTCCATGCTTGCCATCTTTAAAGGTCTGTCAGCACTTTTCCCAACAACAGTACATAAATGAGTGCAGATATGAACCAAATCCCAGTGCCTAACACCCTTTTTGTCTAATAGTATTTTTGTAAGTTTTAATTGCATATTATTTCTCAGAAATTACTGCAAAAAAATTTATCCCTTTCTATATGAGTATCTGTATGAAACTTGATTGCTTTCCATTTGACCCAGCAGCATGTGGAAAAGATGGGCACAATGCTCAACTAAAAGGCAGGCCCAGGAACAATCATGAGAAGGGAGATATCACTAAAACACAATGAATGCACACTGCACTAATTGGTATAATCCAAGTTTTTATTTCTATTCCAGATTGGGAACAGAAACATTCCACTGCAAAGGGACACTGACAAACACAATAAGCCCACTTACACAACGGAGCCTTTTCATGCCCTGTAACAACGCCACCAGCTTTTATTTTGGGTTTCCTTTCTGCTAGTTGGTTCACAGGAAGCATTTGTACCTGGGATTAAGACACTGCTGCTACAGGTGTGACCCGGTTTTATCATCATTAGTGACTTGCCTTGCATAGAATTGCTTCTGTCTTTGGTAACCAGTATGATACCGAAACGAGGACCTTTGATAAGAGTAGGGCTGAATCATCCATGTGTGAGCTGTCTTCTGTTTGCTCAGTTGTTTCCCCAATCACCACGGATTTAAAGGTCCAGCCGACGGACTGTTGCAGCAACAAGCCAAACACCAGAACAGGACATCAGGGGGCAGCAAGCACACTTATTGCTGCCTGTCTTTATCCAGAGCCAAGGGAAAGGTAAAAACCTGTCCCAACACTCAGGGGCAAAAGGTTTCTCTGCCCATTTCCGAATAGTTCCTGGTTTTGAATGACTGCTGTGTGCAAGAGGCAGATTTACAAATATACCACACCCCAGCTGAACCATGTGAAGAATGCAAGGTTAATTGAACCAACCGGGAGAACTTTTACAGCACAACATAAATGTTCAGGTCACTCAGACAGTAACTCGTGAAATCCAGGGCACCATAATCTCATGTGAAAGGATTTTTATTTATGAAAGCGTGATTAAGTCCCCTTGCAATTTACACAGACAACCCCTACTCCAGCTGTACCAGGCAGGAATGCAATGCTACAGTTCACACAAACAAGATGGAGAATGATGTTCTGGTAATTGGTTATCTCAAGTGGGGTTTTTTTTATTCAGAATGACACCTGAGGAAAGGCTGTCTAGCACTGAAAGTTACCATTAAGGCTTTTTACATGTTTTAATAAAATGGAACTATTGAAACTACCAACGTTGCTTACCACAAAACTCTTAATACACCACCAGCTTCTGTAACAGTTGAAGTTTGAAGGCCATTTTTATAAGCCTTTACAGATGTCAAAAAATAGACATTGAACTTCCTTTTCATGCTCAGAATAGTGATTTATGACAGAATATATTAGGAAATCTCATATTTTCACAGTTGACTTAGCTACTGCAGAGCCCTTTTTTTTTTCCAGTTGCCTATCAGCATTCTAACAAATAACACTACTCAAGGTTTAAAGGCTGAGGACTAGTAAAGTCATGAACATAAAAAGAGTAAAATGAGTAGGTTCAAGTTTTACTCATTTGTAAGAGTGGAAGAGAAACTCTGCAATATGTGCTTTTATTTCACTTATCCATTTTGTGACCTCAGGGAAAAAAACAGCTAGAGGAACAAGTAGTGAAGAAAAGGGTTAGAGTACTTGTTTCTAAAAAAAAAAAAAACAAAACAAACAAACAAAACAAAAAAAAAAAAAAAAAAAAAATCCCAAAACCTACAAAATACCACTACCAAAAAAAAAAAAAATTAGTGCCAGACCATTACAGTCCTATCAAAAGCTGAGAAACCTCAGTGTTGCAGCCACATTGGTTTAAGGATGCAAACAAGGCATCATTCATAAGCAAAAGATGCAGTCCCTTATTTGCCTGGGTGCTGCAGCTGGACAACCCATACAGGCACACAAAGGCTGTTACACTAAAAAGAGAACAGGTACTAAAATTCAATGTCTGGTTGCGTGGTCTCCAGCTTTTACGTGGTCTACCACCTAAAAACACCTCAAACTGAAAATATGTATTACAGACCTTAACGTGCAATGAGAGCAACAAATTGCACCTTACATGCTTCTTCCACCATTAAGAAGTGGAAATGCTCAGAAAAGGGCATTTAGTGACAACAGCAGTAAATGATAAAGCATTTGTGCTTTGGAGTAAGAAAACTAGTCCAACACACTGGCAAGCCTGCTCAAGAGCCTGAGCTGGAAGCTTAAAATCTGTTCTGTCTTCTGCAAAGATGCTCAGCTACTCCACAGCTAAAGCCTAAACACAGGCAGTTCACAGTGGAGTACTTCACATGAGAATTTCACTAAGAGGGCAAGGGCAGGATGGAACAAGGCCTTGAGCAAATCACTGGGACTTTTATGGGCAGTAAGTCTAATCCAGTATAAACCAGAGAAAACCCCCTGATCAAAAGCTAACCACCTGCCCTATGAAGGAAACTGCTGTGAACCACAGACTGCAAAACTACCAAGACACACTTCTCAGCTCTAAGAGACTCTAAGTGGGTTTCTGGCACTCTCCTGAACTCAGTGAGTCACCATTCTTAAACATAAGCAGTGCAACTACATGTATTTAATATATTCCACATTAAAAGCATTCACAGTTAGGTATGTTTGACCTTAGGGGCTGTTAGGTTCACAAACCAAATATCCCTCATACTTCTCTCTCAATACTATCCTGGAAAAACATGAGTTTTCCCATTATTCTGTGTGTTTCTGGATTTAAAACAGATATCTGCCAGAATTTATTAGTTAAAGGGAAAGCAAGATCAGATGCATTTTCCTCCATCTCCATTTAAAATTGTCTTTATTTCAGTCATTTTAAGCAGAAACCTCTCACAGCAGTTGGGATAAGCAGGCTGTTAAACCATTACACTGTTACATTCAATTGCAGAGATACATCTCACTTCATACAAATATAAGCAAAGGTGTGTTTGTGGTGAGGTTTTTCAAGGAGCAGTTTCTATACGTCTCAGTGTGCCAAGTACATTGATCTGCACTCTTTGCATCAGGAGGCCAACTAGGGACACAGTACATCTCGCCCGTGGGACACAGGGGGAATTAAACCATTGTGTCATGACCAACCTTACCTGACAGAAAAGCACATTCAACTTGCTTGAGGAATCCAACTGATCACCGATACTCAGTATTGTCATGGGTGGGGGTCCTTAATTGCACAAAGGTACAGAGCACTACTTCTTGGATTACTTAAAACTTAAATGAGCACTACCCTCATATATTGACTCTTAAAATATCTGAGGCACAAGTAAGTGTGTGTACTTGTTTTATTCATAATTTGTCTTGGGATACCAAATATATTTCTACTTCAGGTGATTCAACAAAATTGTTGACCTCATTTCAAAACATCCACTGATCCGTTTTTTTCATTCAATGGCAATATCGAATGTTAAAAGGAACATAAAAACAAACATGCACACAATTGTACAGTTTTCATAAATGTCTATTTCATTATTTGTGGGTAGCGCATTAAACAGTTAAATACATTTAAATAATGTTTAAGTGACTGCACTAATGCAGAATTTTAACTAGATGGGTAACCAATTTAACTAGAAACCAGCTAACAAGTAACTGTCTAAATACTTCAAATACAGCTCTTGTTCTAGGTCATCCTTCTTGGAAAAAAAAAGCCTGCTGGTCACATTGGAAATACATTTTAAGGCCAAATTCTTCTGATATCCCTTCTCTGCAGCAGTTTCTTCACCTTTTTAAGCCTCCAATTCCAGGCCAAGACCAAGTTTATGGCCACCAGCATTGATGCTCTTTCCATCTATCAGGGCAGACAGTGTCAGCTTCACACCTGTAAGATTTTTAAGTAGCACATTTACAACATACACAGTAGCTTTTATGCAACCCAACCTCCATCACTACAAGCCCAGTTTGTAGCTCTTTTTCTATTTCATTACTTTTACAGAAAAATATATTTACCCATGAAATCCACTGAAAGTTAGTCATGTGAACCAAGCTAGATGCATTTTGTAAAACACTGTCTTATGAAGTGGATATACAAAGTCTCTAAATGCTAAATACACAAGAGCTGTCCTTTCCTGCATTAAGGTGTGCAAAGGAGGAGGAAAACTGTGGACAGGTCAGAACAGGTTAAGTTCTGGAGGGTTTCCTTACTAAATATGAAGAGCAGGAAGTGTGTTTTTTTGACAATTAATAATTCTTTCAAGACCTGTTATCATTCAGTGTTGTATGACTGGAGAAAACAATGTCAAAAAAGAAAGCTTGCTTTGCCTAGCCTAAAGCTAAGCTGTCAAACACAATACAGTCCACTCCTGTACAAATCAATGAGGAATATAATGCATTAACACCATTAGAGAAAATGGAGTTTGTCTTACTTAAAGGTTAGATGTGCAACATAAACTACTGTAAAACATCTACACTGCCTTCAAGACAAAATTATTTGAAGAAGGAAAACAGTTGCATATAAATGCATAATCTCAAGTATTTTTCTTTGTGATGCATTAAAGATATATATGTGACATAATTCATGTGATAACTCTTACCTGGCCTCAGCGTCTGGGTGTAACCCACTCCAACTAGACTAGAATTGTTCACTTTTGCCTATTAAAAAAATAAAACAAGACAAAAGCAAATGAAATGTAACTAATTAGTTTTTTGTTATCATTCAGAAACTAGAATAACTATAGCAATACTGCCATTATCAGCTTAACCAATTTTTACCTGTTCTTTCAATACTTCTATGCTTCCTGAATTCTCTGCTTCAAGTTTATGCCCTTGTCCCTGTACTTAGAGCTGAAGCAGTAACATATTTAAGAGCAGGGAGAACTGTTACTGGAATGTGGGTTTGCAGATGAACTTCTCCACTTCTGCCTTTTAAGAAGGCCACAGCCATTTACCACCCCAGTCTCCCAAAAGATGCCACTACAGAAGAAACCTCCATGTTCATATTATTACAAAAGAATTAGCATTACAAGTCCAATCAGCCAAGCAGCAAAAATTTCCTTATTTCCATATATCATAAACAGTATGTGTAAACTTATTTATCTCACTTTCCATCACTTTCACAACAGGATGATTCCAATGATCCATGTTCAACCCTAACTTTGTAATGTACAGAAAATTGTTGTGCTTATCACCTTTTTAATCACTATTGCAAGGAGTTCTTACCATGAGAACGTACCAGAGCTCCCCAAACAGTGGTTTTAAAGAAACTCTGTAAACTTACAGAATTGACATAAAGGGGTTTTTTTTTCCCCTTTGTGTTTTTCTTTTAATAAATACAGTAAGATCTCTAGAGTACACCCAGCATTTGACAGTCAGGTTTTAAGACAGACTCCAGACATTACAGAATTTAAATACTGCTGGTGTTATTAAAACTTCCAGGATGGTAAAGAGTAATTCCTACAAGCCTTTCCGACTTGTTTTTGTACTATTAGCACACAGATTTGCAGACACTGAAAATACATTGTACTCAGCACAACCCTTCAGGTTTTAGCCACACTCACCGAGATAGAAGCAGTGGAATCCAACTTGTATTTAGCTGCAATGCCAAAGCGAGTGCTGTTGCTGCCTGCTGTCCAAGCCAGGTTTACAGCAGTTTCAAGATGGTCACTCACTTTTTGGTAAATTGACCCACCAAATTCAGAACCATCATTGCTGCAAAAATTAAGAAGAGTTAGTTTCCTATATTTACATACCCCCCCCTTTTTTATTTTCTTTTTACTACTTAAAATTTTTTATTTAGATTAGAATTTCAGAAGTCTGAGTTGTTTCCCATTTTTTGGCAAAAGAAGGGGAGATTAATTTTGCCCTGAAGCCTTTGTTAAACTGCAATAATCCATGGAAACAAGAGGTATTTCAGAGTGCTACTCTGAATTACTTGCAATTCTCATGCTACTGTTGAACAAAGTCCTTGAACAAAATTCCAGATCGCATCCTTATAAAACTGGTGGATAAATGTTAATACTTAGAAAATGGCCATTATGAATTCATGACTATTGAATATATATGAAAATCCTAAAGAATTAAATTACTTTAAAAAAAAATCTGCCACAATGTTTTACTTTAGTGAACTGAAATGGAATTCTTACATCCCAGACTATATAGTATTTTGTAGTTTTCTCCCATACTCCTCAATTTCCATGAATTTGGGCAGACACAATCCCCATCCTTCCCCTCCAAAAGCACAAACTTCTATCTAACTAAATGCACTAGAACTCCACCAATTTTTATTAACCCAGATTGAAAACACCATGTTTTTCAGCAGGTTTTTCTGAGCTTACTCTGAAGCACATAAGATCTAAAAGCAGTGAGTCTGAAATTTCATAAACAAGATGTCTTAAACTTGTTTAGTTACACTGTTTTATGCACTCTTCATTCCTAACAGTCAAGAAGATGAACCTACTCTAAGTCCAAAAGCAAAGCTCTAGTCTTGCCCTAGAAGCTACTACTTACCTGCCTAAACAGTGCAACACTAATTACTACTTCTCACAAACCTGCTATCCTTAAATTGTAGTCTAATACAGTTAATTCAATGTAATAGAAGAGCTGGAAAAAGCATTATGATCAGTTCTGCATAACTGAACTACTGCACTTCCACTTGGCATGTACTTCAATACTATGCAAGCTGTATCCTGCTGCAAGTGCTAACAAGTCACAGCCGTTTACTGTTTTGAAAAAGAGAAATAAAAACTATCTTTTACATTTATTTAGAGTTTCCTATTGAAAAATGCACTCCATTTAATGGCCTTGTAAGCACCTGTTGATATTTCAAGCATCTGTATTTTGACTAGAAGGAAAGGTAGAGAAAGCCTGCTTCTGTAAATCTGGACAAAATTTTCAGTACTTACACATTAGTGTGCAGTTGGAAGTCTCCAGTCTTGTAACCCACAGAGAAATTATTTCTTGTCAATTTTGATTTGGCACTATCAAAAGTCATCTGATAACCAGCAAGCCAGCCTTCATAACCAAAGACAGCCGAACCGTGGATTGCAGGTCCAGCAAAATCAAAGTCAACATCACAACCTAGGTTTAGGCATTCACGTTTGTAAGCTGACTTAATTTTACCACTTTTCTTTCTGAAACAGAGAAACAGTTATCTTAAGACAAGGCATACATGATCTTCTTCAATGAACTGCAAAATTCAAGCTGTATGGCTCTACACAATGTACCTAAATGCCATGCACATGCAGCCCCTAGGCCGGGCAGAAGTCCATCCTGAGCACATGGGGCTACTGCAAACAGGCATTTTCTGATAAAGGCAGCAGTAGCTGAACACCTTCTGCGATCTTCCAAGTATTCTATTCCAGACAATAAGCCAAGTGGGCTGTTGTGAAATGTACAATACTAACCCCACAGTGATGTGATGAAAGCAGATATAAATAAAATAAATAGCATAATCCTTTAGCATTGGGATTTGCTAACTTGGATCAATAGCAAACCATACAAACAGCTCTGTCAATATCACAGACCAGATGAACAGACCATGGGGGTTGTTACTGCCCTAAGTAAGGTAAAAAGGTCAATAATTCTTACCCTGTATTTGGTGAGAAAGTTGTATCAAACGTCAACTTCAGGCCTTTGGCAATCTAATTGAATGGGGAGAAGAGAAGAGAAGAGAAGATAAAGCTATAAGTTCTGTTCTGTTAGATAGGGAAAACAAATAAATACTATCATAATCTATTACCTGATCTTCAATTGCAATTTCTGTTCCCAGAGTGTTATCTGTGTTCCATTTTTCTGTGAAAGTCAGCCCATATTCAGCCCACTTGTATTTGGTCTCCAAGCTCCCATTCACTTTTCCAGTGTCTGTGTTCGATGAACCAGATGTTGTGAATTCCTAAAAGGGACAGAAGATACATGTGATCCTGAAAGCATTATACAGTGTTTTCTGCAGCAAACACTAAGATCTTGTTATTCTACACAACAAGTTTAAAATCAGTACACAAATTTCAGGGGCAGAAGGGAGAACGGCACAGCCAAGAAGAACTTCCCTAGTCCCCATCTCAACTGCAGTGTTCCTGCCAGTATTACAGATTGTACGGGGTTGCAACCTAACTCCAAAGCAAGACAGTAGTCACCATAAGTATACTCCTTAAAAGCAGAATCAAATTCTTTAAATGTAAGGCTAAGTTTGATACTCCCGAAGAGCAACTTAAAAATCAAACCAAAAGCCAAGAACACTAAAAGGCACAAAACGCAATTCCAGTAAAATTCTTGAAGGATCACATATGTTTTGAGGTTTTTTCCATTTTTCTTGTCAACCATCCCCAAAGATAAATTATGGACAACTGTAAAATGTCACAGAATGGCATCATTTTTCAAATTGGGAGTGGATGGTTTGGTTTTTTGTTTGGTTTGGATTTTTGATTGATTTTTAAAGAGAGTTATTAGTCTAACCAACACACCAGCCTTTCACACCAGCCACAGGCACATATGTATTTACTGACATCTATAAATTTCCCTGGCACTTTGGTTTCATGACACACAGGAGTAACATTCATGTTTGAATAGTGAGCCCAGGGAACAGTCTGGTTTTATGGTACAGTATGGACCTATCTGGAATTCTTCAAAGTACTTAGAAGTTACCAATATCACTCACATCTCTTTATTAAAGGACTTAGTCCCTGATATTTCTCACTGTTTGGATTCTCACAAAGAAGAAAATTAATAGTTTCTCTGTGCCACTATTCAGAAACTAAAGGCAATACATAGCAGAAGTAGAAGTCAAGTTTTACAATACAAGTTAAAAGAGTTCTTTCCACTGAAATATCACTGCCCTTATGATTTAAAAAGCTGATTATTTCAACTTTCTAAAACATATAAATAAAAATTTTATCTGTCTTCCTCCATGCACAACACTATTTTCAAATAAACTTCTCACACCTCCCCAAGAAGGGAAAATTAATTTAAAATCACAAGTCCTTAAGCACTCTGACAGCCCAAGCCCAGAGAGTACATAGCAAACGTGCATGAGACTGTTCTTTAATGCTGGCTGATCAAATTTAACCACATGCAAGACATTTATTTGTGCTATGTTAGTGGACCCCTAAACGATCTACATAGTTGCATAATTCTAGTAAGGTCTATTTCTTGGCAAGGGGCAGGGACTACAAAAATACCTTCAGGCTGAACTTCTTGCTTTGTGCTGCCCTTACTACACAGGTCTGTGTGACTGACACTATTGTGGCAAGAGCTTCAGGAGCAGCAAAGTATTACCTCTTATCTCTGCTTTAAAACATCTGCAGTACATTCATACCAGCAGTTTGTCCTCCTGGGAAGAATGGTTTATAACTGATATGGGGTTCACATTATGGCTTAGATTTTTCAGTTTTACCAGCGCAACCGGTATTTCTGAAAAGCACAAGCTAGACTAACACCACCACCTACATCTGTAACGGGGCTCTTGCCAACTGAAGCTCTTGTGGTTCAGTTGGGATACAGACCTCTTGAAAAAGCAGAGCATATGATTCAGGACTCTTTTTTCTAACAGCAAGTTACACTGCTAAAGCTCCAGTTACAAGGGAAAATAAAAAATTTACCTTTGTATCTTGCAAAGTCTGCTCTAGAAATGATCAAAGTTACAGGGGGCACTGCGTGCATGACAAAGACCCCTTGTAGAGAACACTACTGCAACATTTTAATACCTAGCGGAGCCAAAGATTCAACATGCTAATTCAATGCCAATTACTTCACACAAGCATCAGGATGGCAGAAATTTCCATCAAATACAAACAACATCACAAGGCACTATAATCAGTATATTAAAATACTTTAAAAATCTGTCAGCTATTTGTTCACCTTCAGACCTAAGACCAGGGACAAATAACAAACTCTTTTATCTTACCAAGATTACTAAACAGTGCAATACCCTTGTTACACTCAGATCTTTAAGGGCTTCTGAAATTATTTTGCACCAGAAGTTTATCATTCATAAAACCTGTAAAATACTTAATAGCATCTGCAAAGCAACCCTTCTAACTAAATGAGAAACATATCCAGAAAGAAAATATAACGAATAAAAGCTATTTAAACTCACCACTCCGCTTGCAGATTTTGTTTTCACATCCAGTTTCACCAACCCAAAACCTTAACAAACAGAAGTCAAAGTTACATGATTAGGCCTTAACTAAGGCCCTGCACATTTTTCAAGAAGCTGGTCTTCCAAGCAGTCTCAGCAGTGTGCCACATATATACAGAGAAATAAACAACTAGAGATTGACTTCAGCAACATGCAAATTTTAGATGTTGCAGCAAGTAAAGGAAGCTACTCCAAAGCAAGCAGGGAGTTCTGTTCAATCATCACCACACAGAAAGTGGGGAGTAACCTCTCACTTGTACACTGTACATTTAACTACCAAATGATGGCTTCCAGGAATTAATTTAGTGACAGAGGAAATACATAATTTTCTGTTCCTGGAATGGCATTGCTTACATTTCTTCTCAGCATCAAGACAAAATATCTCAAAATAAATATAAAAGTCACTGGGAAATTACATGATCACTGGAACTGTAATATAAGTAGGTTTTATGGGAGTGTCAATTCACATTATTATCCCTAGAGCTGAGCAACAGTCTTGGTGAAAAAGCCCCCACCTGCATTCCCAAAGACCAGAAAGAAACAGCATTGTAACAAAGCATAATTGAACTATGCAACTGTGCAGTATTAAATAATTTCAAAATGTAGAAGGATTCTTTATCCCAATAGCCTTTCTTCTTTCTATTCCAAAAAAGGCTATAACATTACACTGGTATATAACCTTGCCTACATCAACCAATGTTGTGGCACAGACAGACCAGTAAATAAAGTGCACTCCTAAGTTAAACTAGACTTGCTGCTTACATTCTTGCATACTTGTACACCTCTGACATTTATGTGGCTAGAGCAGTAAGATTTAACAGACTTCACATCAAAACAGCCTACAAAAAGCCTGTAATGATGTTAATTGACTGCCATGATATAAAAACAGCCCAACCTCTCCCTTCTCAGAAATACGGGCATTTTAGCATTCAATTTTACATACCATTTTTAAAAGGCAATTAATTGTTGCACCTCAAACATTGTATTTTAGAAAAGGGTACTATTCTTACCATATCCTTTATTGAAGATATCTCTGGCAGATTTGCCAAGGTCTACGTACGACGGAGGAATCGCCATTGGAGCTGAAAGGTAAAGGGCTAATTAATAGGGAACCTTTTCCACTGCACACATAAAAAAACACTACCACAACTCTTTCAAGATACTCTTTAAGGCAAATTCATCTATATGAAAGCAGTTAATGGACACAATGGCTCACACAATTAGTGTTCTGTGAAACACCTACATATTTTCAGTGAAGGTCACTGTGAGATGTTTTCTCAGAGAAGAGGCATTACAAGACCACCCAGTTCTTAATTTTTCAAGTCCATTTCTCCATGCATCTTTAATTACCAGAAATAAACCAATACCTTACATTTCCAGAGTTGGCACAGTTACCACCAAAAACCTGGAAACTGTACATCTAAAAAACTATAATGCAGACAGTTAATTCTCTGAAGTTCTAATAAATCAAATTTGACATGTGCCTATGAAAACTACCAGAAAGTACATACTTCTGCAACATCATTTTTGCCCTGCATTTTATATGGCAGACATGCCATTATTATTTATATTTATTATACATATATAGATATAAAAATGTTTAAATTAAGAAAGAACATCTAATGCCATTAACTAGCCATCAATCAGTTGACTTTTTTCCTCCCTACAGTATGCAAGGGTTTAAATTTGGGAGGTTGTCTTGTTTGCTTAAAACATAAAAGTAAGAGGAGTGCTAGATGCATGAGAAAAGCTCTCTTTGGAGTCCCTTTCTCTGACAGGAGTCTCTGGCAATCTGGCTGTTCGATAACCTGTCACTTAAGATGAGCTATGCCCCGGCCCAGCCCAGCCTGGGCGATGGAAGACACCAAGCTAAGGTCTCACCCCGGCCTGTATCGCTCTCCTCCCTGCGAAGATACACTCTATCTGCACCTTTCTTCGGGGACTGTGATCTCATGATTTCAAGAGCAAAAGGCCACTGCTACAGAGGCCCTGTATTTTAAAGCTGCAAAGTACAGAAAACAGCATATTAATAACTCTCTCCATGCTGTGAAAGGAGGGAGAAGGGGTGGAGGAACAGTGCAGCTAACTAGAAAATGCCATGAAAAGGCCAAACACAAGCAAACAGAAATCTTATCTTCTCAAACTGATGGGTCACATTTGTTTAGCAGAGAAAGTCAGATTAACATAATCGTTGTTTATCTTGCTCTCTGTGGTGGGATTCTACGGGATTTTCTTTTTTTTAAGTAAATGAAAAATTATTTTCAGAACCTGAAAAATAACAAGGGCAGTATTCTCACACATTAACTTCCAACTGAAAGCAAAAGTGAATACTTCATGTTTATATAGTACTTTTAACCAATATTTAAATTTCCACCATCTGGCTATAGGACTGCTAATCTTTTGCATATCTACACAAGATCCTAAAGTGTACTCAATAATAAAGGATAAAGGCAAGCCTTATTTTTCCCTTCTCAAAACTACTTCTTCCCATCTTTTCACAGCATTATCTACATCAAGGAAAACTTTCCTAGAACATCCAATTTAGAAAAAAAAATGCCTTCAGGGCACCACAACACTAAGCAGACTGTTCTTACAGAACAGCATCCGTGTTAAAAGAAAACAAACCCTAATTACATCTGCTATATACAGCCTAATTGCAAAAACTGCTACTACTGAAAACAAAACCAAAACCAACAAACTATTTCCACAATCAATGGAAAGGCACAAAACTGCTCCTTATTTTTCTGCAATTCGTAAGGCAGTTTTCCTGAGTACCTTACTCCATCTCCCTACTGCCAGAAGAGGATAACTTCAACCTCCTCTGAGCCACCGACATTAACACTCTGTTTTTCACACACACACAAAACCTAACAAACACACAAACAAAAAACTTTGTTTAGCAAAGACATCTAAATTCTACAACCAGGTCGCTACAGCAAGACATCTATCACTTGCTCAAGAACTTAAAACAAGTCTGTTTTTCAGGGAGTTAAACTAAATGTTAAATTTTAAAAAGACATGAAAATTACTTAGAGCATGTGAAGTTCAAAATGGTTTAGCCCAAATTCAAGTTCATAGAACAGCTCCTAATCCCAGTGACAAGCCATTAAATGGTTCCTATTATTTAGTCAATAAAATGAAGCAGATGATTGACCAAATTACAAGGGTGGGAACACTAGCCCCTCTACATTTCTGCTGTACAACAATTGTACAATTCTTTAGTTTAATATATTTTAAAGAAAGTCTAGTTATGTTTCCTTTAATGAGTCTAGTTATATGCTTCCTTTAATGAACGGATCTCACTTCTAACTAGCATCTTCATAAGATTAATTATTTTAGTTTTAAAATATTATAATAGCCTTCAGCATAGACAGGATTTTAGAGTGCAAATAAGTTAGCTTTTCCCTTTTGTTTTAATGTTTTCAATCTTACTAAACAACCACAAGAGATTTATGCTAAGCAGAAATGTCCTGAGAAGTTAATAAACTTGTATCTGCGCCAAAATTTAGAGGATTATTACAGTAAAGAGGATGTTGCCATTTTGTCAGGAGTAGTTAAGCATTCTTCCCACTGCAAGGAAACTAGCCACTATTTGTCAGACACTCCAGCCTACACATGCAAGTTTTGTAATAAAAAGTTAAGACAGTACAACTGCCATGCTGTTGCTCAAATTCCATACAAACAGGGACAGATAAGAACAAAAGAGGAAACCAAAAGTTCATTTTGAATATACTAAATACCCAATAAACCAATGTCATCATTAGAATACTCATTAAATGAAAATAGGGCCATTAAAAAAAAAAAAATCATTGCCGTGTCCTCCAATGTTTTGCAAATTCTTATAATCAAAAGTAAATTTCAACCCTATTTTGAAGAGTCTTTCACTTAAAAACACCTAATTAGAAGTGGCTAAAATATAAGTACCATTTAGCAACTGGAGGTTTGTTGTAAAAATAACTAAGAAATAATCTACTTGAATTACTGAATATATTTGAACCAAGTGGGAGCTCCACCCTAATCTTTGTTTCAGGAAAAAAGGAAAAAAAAAAATTAATCTCTTACTCAAGAGTCACAATCATGCTTTCTCCTCCCATAAAAAGAATAAAAAATGACCCCAAGAACTGAAAAACGTATTAACGTTATCGGAATTATTGCATCACCGTTCTCCTTCGAGGTAATATCCCACACCCTATAATTAAGGAATGCCACAGACTTCTATTAAGATTTCTAACAACTTTAAGATCTCAGGACACTGAAGATCAGACCAGAAGCCAGATCAGGTTATTAATTAAAAAAAAAAAAAAAAAAGGGACTCATGCAATTTTTAAAAGCAGCAATAACTATGCCAAAATTATCACAGTATCCCAGTAAAGAGCAACAGGAAAAATGAGATTATTTAAAGCATAATTTGTTAAAATACACTGGACACGCACTGACCGTCTAGCTGGCACGGACACTACACGCAGGTTAAAAAAGAGAAAATCCACGTCCTTCCCCTTGCATTAACTGTCTCCCTATCTCAGCTCGGAGGTGGACATGCAAGCCTAACCCTGGCCAGGCCAGTGCACAGACTGCGGAGAGAGCGCCTGGAAATGCACTACAGGCTCAGAACCGCGGGCAGGGGCAGTAACGCAGCGCCTCCCCAGGGAAGGGAGTGCAGGGCAGAGCGAGGGTGCGCCCGCAGGGCCGGCCCGCCCGCGGCCCCAGGCCCGGCGCCAGGCGCGCCCGCCCCGCCGCAAGGTGAACCCGCTCCGCGCGGCCATCTTGGGCATCCCGGCCCGGCCTCCGCCCGCCGCGCTCTGCACCGGGACCGACCCGGGAACGCGGGGGCAGCGATCGCCGAGAGCCCCCCGCCCGCTCCGCCCGCGGCAGCCGCCGGCGCCGGGAGCGCGCCCGCCGCCCCACCAACCCCGGCCCGCGCGGCCCCAGCCCCGCTCGCCGCCGGACGAGCCCCACCCGCTTCCCCGTTGCGGCGTGGCGGTGTCGGCCCGGGCCAGCACCTGCGTGTGTCGGGCGGGCGGCGGAGGGGCCGGCGCGGGTCGGGCCGTGCGGAGGCCGCGCTGCTGCAGCCGCGGGCACTGGAGGGCGAAGTGAAGGAGACACCGATCCGCCCGCCCGCCGCGCCGCCCGCAGGACCCCGGCGCGCCAGGGCCGCCCTGCCCGCCGCCTGCCCCGCCAGCCGCGCCCGCCGCCGCCCGCGCAGTCGGGGCGGCCCCTGCCCGCGGCGCGGAACGGGAGGCACCGGGAGCGGCCGCGGGAACGGGCGGCACCGGGAGCGGCCGCGGCGCCGGGACACGGCCCGGGCGGGGGCTCCGCGGGCACTCAGGCACTCCGCGGGGCAGCCCCGGAGGCGGAGGGGCCTGCGAGGGGCGGAGCCGGGAGAGCGCCGGGCACGGCCCCGCTGCGGCCGCGCCCAAGGATCCTGTCTCCTTGCGGCGGCCCGGGGGGCGGGTGGTGCTCGGCTGCACAGGCAGGAGGGTCTGTGCCCGGCGCCTGTGCCCTTCCCGGGAGAGTACCCGTCACCCTTCCAGAGGCCGCCCGTCCCTCACACCGAGTCGGGGGCCCTTCACCCGCACCAGCCGCGGACAGCGCTCCGCGGCCCGTGGCGTTTGTGCAGGAGACGCTCGCCGAGGGCGGCCCTCGCTCCTGGCAGCCCCAGGAGCCCTTTCCCAGAGCCCTTCCCTCCCCGCAGGGACCCGCGGGGCACGGCGGAGGTGACGCGGTGCCTAGCATGGCTCTGCAAGATTGCTCGCCCTGCCTCTCCCACTGAAACTGAGCACTTGGTTACACCAGCATTCGCTGCTGTTGCGAGCGGGAGGCCACAGACCCGCCCTGACACCCGGCAGGGCGGCTGTGCCATCGCTGGGCTGGCAACTGCTCCATCTAACCAGGTTTGCTGCCTCGTTCAAATAAGTTACCACAGACTTTCCAACGGCCTAAAGTCCATTTTTACCATCCAGTCACCTTCCACCGGGAGATGCCCACGAACTCCACAACAGAAGACAGTGTTATCTCAGGGCAAGAGAAGCAATAATCCTCGGAAAGCTTTCCTAGATAGTGCTGACCACAAATCAGACCTACTTGAGAAAACAGTCCCATGACTATTGTACAGCTCTGCAGCAGGAATCACTGAGTCACCAGTGCAGACCATTGCTAGGCCGAGGAACTGCAGTTCTAAAATTCATAGCTGTGCCCTGCTTGCTTGGATTATGACATGGTCAAAGTTTCTCAAAGTAAAAATCACTAAGAAATACAAGCTATATTTGCATGATATGAAAAATACTATATTAACATCCAACACAATTAATTTTCCACATGTACCACATGGTACAACAGTAATTTTCCAGGTTGTTGAGAAGAGAACAGATGACCAGCAATATCCAACATAATGCCAGCCATCACCTACTAGTTATATCCAAAGATAACTGATTTTTTTTTTCTGATGCAAGTCAAATGCTTTCACATCAGAAAGCCCAACAGGTTATTATGTTTCATTTTGATATTTTTAAATAAGACAGCTTGGCATTCCACAGATGAATATGTATTGATGAATCAAGATGAATCAATATGTATTGATGAATCAAGATTTTCTCAAGCCACATGCTGAGAAAATAAATAGCAGTAGAAAAAGAAAACTAGTGTATCTTACTGTGCATGGAAACATACATTAGGAATAAACAGATCTGATTAAGTAAAAATAGATTGTGGTATAAGTATTCAAAGACATGCATTTATTATTCATACTAATAGTATAAATCCATTGTGAATAAAGGTTCAGTTACTTACAGGAGATATCAGTTTTCTGCCTCTTTTTTCTTTTAAAGATTAATACTTTAGTCATTGTTTGGCTTTATTTTTAGCAATCCAGGAAAGGAATTACTGCCCCACCCTGAGCAAAAAAAAAGCAGTGAATCACTTGCTTTGTGAGACAAGGCAGAGACATAATCTGTGACAAACAACAGCACATAAACTCCTCTGCATTAATGTTTCAGGCTTCTGTAGCAACAGCCTCTGTCTGCCAGTGTTTTTCACTCTTCCCCCATCCCTCACTCGTACAACTATGCCTTATTTCTCTCAGCATGTCTGCTAAAGCTCAGAGCACCAAAAAGGCACGCCTTCAGGCCTCCAATAGCAAGCTATCTAAATTATTCTACCCTTTCCTCTTAAAGCTCTCCTCATAGCATTCAGTGCACTCCCCTCCTGTGCGGGTGCACTCACTCTAAAGGGGCTGGCTTTCCTTTGGAACTAAGCAGCTCTTAGTTTTTGTGCCAGTTTCAGCTGAACGAACTGAAGGTTCAGTTGAACCACTTGATACGAATATGGCCATGTGTAACTGGCATCAGAGTCAAATGTTTTACTGGTGCCACTTGAAAAAGAAACAGATCACTACAAAAGTTTACTGCCATTTAAACACAAACGCTGCTTACACATTGCTGAAGTAATGTATGTGGCCAACAAAAAGACAGCAAGTGGCTACAGTATATATCAGTTTCCATCAAACAGTTTTGATAAGTTGTCTTCACTTCTAACATGAGCCTCTTCTCCGGATGCAGACCTTGAAGATTCAGTGGAGAAAAAATTTTACAAGACGTCTGAAAATGAACAACTAAGTAAATTAGGACTCATTCTGAAACAAGTGGACTTAAAGGATATATCAGAGATTATGAAAGTGTAACCAGCAGGGGAAGCATGGAAAATAGTTGAAGCTAGCAGGAAGCAAGTTCAGAACAAAGGGATTTTTTCTACTACAGGAGTGCTATCCAGTGGAATTACCTGGCAAAAGCATCTAAATGTTTATGTGGGTGCCAGGGGAAACTAGACAGTGGAAGAAAAATCCAGCAAGGATTACTAATTACTAATATGCATTCAACCATCACCTATGGCTGTATAGGTTCTTTGAAGTGAGAAAATCCCTGAGTTGCAAATGGAGTTTGTCCTGTTCTTACATCCTTTCTTTTAGGCATGCATTGCCTGAATCATTGCTTAATTCATCATCTCAGAGGCAGGAATATTAGAATATCTACACCTTTCATTTCATACCTTACAACTGCCCTTATGACAAACCAGGCATCTGGAAAGCCCCAGCAGGACAACCAGAAGAGGCCCATACTGACAGGGTCCTTTAGACTGACAGACTTTGATTTTTTTTTCCAAGTACTTTTAAGTAGCCTTCTTTCAGTTTAGCTTAAACTATTAGATGGAAGTTTAACTTAAACCATTCTAGACCATTAAAAGATTTTAAGATACACTTAAAACAGGTCCACACAGAAGGTAATAGATTTATATAATCTGATGGAGGTAATACTTTAGCTCAGAGGAAAACCAACTAATATAAACCTGTGATTTTATAGCTGAGAAGGCACATAGAAAGCAAATTTGAGAAAGTCAAAAAGGCAACCCACTTACTTGCAGTCCCTACTAAGGCTGATGGAGACACAGAGCATCTTACAACTACATAGCTAGTGAAAGCTGATTGCCCATAGCTCTACAGATAAAGCAAACTAAAAGTCCAGTGCTTCTTGTTATGGCCTGTGGACATACTGTGCATTCCTCTAGTACATGTTCAGTCCTAAAGCACCCTATTCCCAAATAAATAAGAAGAGGGATGTGAAAAAGGTTCTGTTAAAGAGCAAGGAGAAACTGAAATAAAAACAACCTCCAAACAACCTCCATGCAGAAAAGCCTGTACTTATTCATTCTTCTGGATTTTTCTTCAGTTGATAATAATTATTTTCCTTCATTTTTTTTCTTTTTGCTGCAGTTTTCATTGGCTTAGAATGTTGGGGGGGGGGTTGGCTTTTTGTGGGTTTGGTTTTTTTTTTTAATCTTCAAGGAATAAGAAACTTGTTAGCAAATCTACCTGATAGATTTACAAACCATCACATGTCCTGATACCCTGAAATAAGTTAATTAATGGGCTCCATTCCTTGCAGGAGATAACTCCTAGAAAGGGAGGGGCAATCATGCAATCAAATGCTGACCTGTAAAAAAACCACAAATTCACTGAGAAATTCAGAGATACGCCCAGTGTTCCAAATCACTTATGCAGAACAATAAATAAATATGAGAACAACTACTCATTTCTGCTGTATTGTTGACATTTCTGCTGATGGTGCAGACTGTAGCAGTTACTTGTGTCAAATGGACACCGGCCCTTTTTGTGGATTGGCATGACATTCACCAACTTCCAATCATCTGGGACCTCCCCAGAGAGCCAGGACTGTTCTTAAATGATGGAGAGCAGCTTGGCGAGCTCTTCTGCCAGCTCCCTCATCAACCTTGGGTGGATCTCATCTGGTCCCATAGACCTGTGGCTCAGCAGGTCACTAACTGTTTCCTCCTTGATTACAGGGCCACTATTCAGCTTCTTATCCCTGTCTTCAAGAAAAAAGTGCAACCCTGGTTTCACGACCTTTCACATTATTTATAGGGTGTCCTTGTCACCGTCTTTCTTCTTGTCACCGTGTTTCTAAAAGAAAAGTGACATGTTGTATTACCCTGAGCACTCCTGCACTGCCTGGCAGCACATCCCATGGGGAGACAGACAACATAGATGGAGCTAAACCTAAACCAAATTGATCTGTGATCAGCTAGAGCTTCACTGGAGCAATCTGACACACTTGGTTATCTGGAAGGGGAAGCTTATCTTGATAGGACAAACCTATTATATAATAATACTATAAAATAAAATGCCTACAAGAAGTGATTTACCTACAGATCTATTTTGACAGCTCTCTTGCTAACACATTACTTTTTCCATGTGCATGATTTCCTTGGAAAACTGCATAGTCCACACCCTCACATGGCATGTGCAGAACGAGCAAGTTTTGCCAACATATGTGAATCATCCAGCCCTTTAAGGATTACATTTTCAACTGAATGTAAGATATTAGGGGAAAAAAAAAAACAAAACCAAAAGCAAAAAAAAACCACCCCAAAACAACCCTGTGAGGTAATCTGCTCTCTATGGTGGATTTTTCCTCTTTCACAGGAATTTGACTATGTATATATATAATCGTGTTCTAGTTAGCTGCCAGGTTCTCAGTGCAGGTCTCACTGCAGCAGAGCTGATGATAGCAATTCTCATAATTAGATCTACCTAATCACCTGCAGTAAAATATCTTATTTTAGTAATACC